CCAACCTTGCCTGCAGGCCGTGTGCACAAGCTCCCGTGAGGGGGGCTGGGTAGTGCTGGGGTGGATCGTGGCATGAGGACCCTGTTGGGGTGACCAAACACGGTCTGTCTGTCTCTGTCTGTCGGAAGGAACAAATACGCAAACGTAAAGATGAAGTTCCGGCGCACTTCCACAGGTGCATTGTGGGAGAATACCCTCCTCCTCGGTCCCACGGAGGCATGGAGTCTCTTCCTTGGCGAAATAACTCCACACTCATCAGGACGTTTTCAGGCCCGCGTGCTGCACTTGCCACCACTTTCCTCTCTGAGGACAGAAACATGGTCGTCGTCCTGACTCCCTGCTCCCTCTGCTCACCTTTGACCTCTGCATCTTTCAGTGTTGTGCAGTTGAGCAAGTGCCCTCCTGCTCAGGGTCTACACGGACTCTCCGGATGCTGGGGTTAGAAGGAAAAGTAAGGCCCACCCACTGCCCAGGAAGAGCCGGACCTGTGCCCTGAGTCCCAGGCAGGGCTGTGGGGCTCAAGAGTCTGTGACTCGCCCAGCCAGGCCGTCCGCTCCACAGAGGGTGCTAGTGGAGGAAGTGGCCTGTGAGCTGAGCCCTGGAGTCTGTCTGTTTGCTGAGACCATCTGGTGCTGACCACAGACTCGGTGCTTAGAGCAGCAGTTTATTCTCGCAGTTTGGGGACAGGGTCTGGAAATGAGCTCTTGCAGGGCCCACTCACTCCTGGAGGTCCAGAGGAAGGATCTGCCCCCAGCTCTCTGAGCACCTGGTAGTTGGCCGTGGGGCTGGGCGTTCTGGGCTTGCAGACATGTTTGCGGTCTCTGCCTCTGTCCTTGGAGTCACGGCTCTGCGGTCTCTGTCTCTGTCCTTGCAGGCACATCTCTGTGGTCTCTGTCTCTGTCTTTGGAATCATAGCTCTGTGGTCTCTGTCCTTGCAGACATATCTCTGAGGTCTCTGCCTCTGTCCTCAGCAGCCTTCCCCTTTGGGTCTCTCCCTGTCTCCTCCTCTCCTTCTCAAGAGAACACTCCTCGTTTGACTGAAGGCCTGCCCTAGTCCAAGGAGCTCTCATCTGCAGACCCTGTCCCGAATCACGTCTGCAGAGACCTTACCGCAAGTGAGGCCGCCCTGAACTGCAGGTGGACTTTTCTCCTGGGGGTGGGGGCACTCTCCAGCCATGCAGGAAGGGGAGAAGGGTGGGCCATAGAAGGGGACGGAGGACAGGGTAGTGTGCAGGTACAGAGCAAGCAGGGCCTACTTAGAAAAGGGAGTGTTGAGTGATCCTAGAGTACAAGACTCCCGGGGGCATGATGGGAGTTTAGCGGATAAGGAGGTTTCGGTTAGAGCGTAGCAACTGTGGATGGTGTGGGGGATGGTGTGTAGGCCTGGGGACAGGCCAGCTATGCACCAAGAGTATTGTGGAACCAGATCTGTGTTTGGAAGGAGAAACATTTACTTCCACATATCCCTATTCAGTGGTTTTATTCTTTGCATTTAAACTTAAATATTGCAGCCAGCCAGTGGCATGGAGTTAAGGCACTAAATCCCACATGGCTGACTTCACGGTTCGAGTCCTGGACCAGTACCCTGAAAAATATGCCAGGCACGTGTGTGTGCACACAGTCCCGAGAGAAGGGATGTGGCGTGACTAGTGATTTCTCATTTTCCTTCTCTATCGCTCCCACCCCTCTCCAGTGAGTATACATACCCTATAGCTAGACTGAAAGCACATACTTAGATGCCTATATTTTAAAAAATAATTATTTAACTTTATTCATTTTTATTTATTTTCATTTAACTAGAGAGGGACAGAGCGAGAAAGAGAGAGAAGAAGCTCCCAGGTTCAGGACTTGAACTGTAGTCAGCCTTGTGGGAGTCCAGCACTTTGACCTCCACACCATCTGCCGGCCCCCTTAGATGCCTATTTTAAATTTTGTTATTAGCTGTTATAAATTAAGTATATGAGGGGACAGTCTTTTTTTTTTCTTCTTTTTTTGGAGAGGTTTCTGCTATAGGGTGCGTGCGCTTGCCAGAAAGACAGAGAGAGACAGAGAGACAGAAAGCGAGAAATCACCCCCCAGGGGGGATGGCCACGCCACAATCCTTCTCCTCCATTCTCCTCTCAGGATCTTGGGCACGCCCGCACATGCGACCGGCGTGAGTTTAAGCCACCGGGTCTGGGACTTGAAACACCATGACTACATGGGAGCCCAGCGACATAGCCATTATGCTAACTGCTGGTCACACAAGGGGGCAGTCTTTAACAGTTTCATAGAAAGCGATTATTATGAGAAACCGTACACGGGCTACAAAAGTCTTGGCACCAAGGTAATAATTCCGTCTTCTACAAACTTTCTGACGCTCCCCCGGGGCTCGCTGCTTCCCAGCGTCACTGTCTAGCAGTGTCCTTGCGTTGATGTCACCGTGGGTGCTATTTAAAGACTGGTAAGAGTTCACAAAACCCCACAGGCGGGTTCCTTCTTCTCGGCTGGGCGCCGGAGGCCAGCACCCCGTAATGCCCCCTCCCCACCGAAGCGAAATGGAACATTGCGATGCTCTCTGAACCCGGGTTACCTCTGGAATATCGAGTTTGAACCTCTTGCCTTCTCAAGAATGTTAGTTATGCATTCCAAACAGCCTGTTGTCGCGGCGTGCACTTAGTGTTTGGGATTGTGTTCGCTCGTTTAGCTTCAAACCACTCTTTTCTTTGCATTTTTCCCCTCCAAGTAGAATTTGAGACTTCAGCATAATGTAAATAGTATGGATGGCGCCACCCATAATCAGAAAATGTACGCTACATACAGAGTTGACCGAAAAAAGAAGGGTGTTTTATAATACCTTACTTTATTTTCCTAATTTAAAATGCCAGTGCTTCTGTTAACAGTGTTGTTTTGTGTTTTATTACTTCAGTAACAATCTATCTTTATTCCAGACCAACAGAAACTTTATTATGATTTGGTTTTTATATTTATATTATTCCTCTTCCGGCATGGGCAGTTGTCTGCCCATGGGATCTGTGGGATCCAGTTCTAACCCTGCCGGTGCGGGCCATTGTCTGCCTGTGGGATCTGTGGGATCCAGTTGTAACCCTGCCTGTGTGGGCCATTGTCTGCCTGTGGGATCTATGGGATCCAGTTCTAACCCTACCGGTGCAGACCATTGTCTGCCTGTGGGATCTGTGGGATCCAGTTGTAACCCTGCCTGTGTGGGCCATTGTCTGCCTGTGGGATCTATGGGATCCAGTTCTAACCCTACCGGTGTGGGCCATTGTCTGCCTGTGGGATCTGTGGGATCCAGTTGTAACCCTGCCGTCGTGGGCAGCTGTCTGCCTGTGGATCTGTGGGATCCAGTTCTAACCCTGCTGGCATGATTTGTCACTCACCTATGTGACCTCCCGGGATCCAGTTCCTACTCCACCAGCTGGTTGGTTACCTGCCTGTGCCGTCTCATGGCGCTGTCTCCTGCAGATAGCAGATAGCATCGCTGGGGCCAAACCAGGAAGAGAGGTTAGTGTTTAGGTAGAGAAAGCGGGTCCCGGTGGGCTGGGGAAGGAGGGAGAGTATCCGCCCAAGATCACAGCTTGGGAATCCAGAGGCCTCAGGCTCTGACTGCTCCACCTCCTAGTCAGGTCCGGAGTCACCCCACCAGGGTCTGAGCTGGGTTAACTGAGCTGAGAAGAGGTGGGAGAGCAGGTCTAGGCGCCTGGGGCAGTAGATTAAGGCCCCCAGGAAGAGGGAGCTCAGCATTTGCAAAAGACTAAAAGACCTGTGGCTGGAGAACCTGGGGGGCGGGGGCGTGGCCTCAAGGCCGGGAGTGTGGGGAGTAGGGGCGGGGGCCTTTCCTCCCAGGGTCCTGGCTTACTTCAAGGATGCAGTCTTTTTTCCTGAAGCATCTGGAAGCCGAGAGGTGTTTGAAGCGAGGTTGGGAGAGGGTGCAACTGGCTTTGCGCCTGGCGAGCCTTCCTGGGTGCAGTGCGGGGAGCTGTGGAGGAGAGCCCGGCAGAGAGCACCTAGGAGTTAGGAATGAACTGGCCCCAGGGGTGGCCGTGGGGACGGACCTGGGAGACAGACCTTGAGATGCTGCGAACCCAGGGCTTCGTGGTGAGCTGTGAGGGCAACGGGAAAGAGCCACACGGAGCGCCCGGGCCTCTGCGAAGGGTCAGGCGGTGCGGCCATGCTGGCTGCTTGTGGATCCGTGTGGATCGGCCGTAGCCCCGTGCAGTGCTGTTGTTTGTGCTTAAGTTGTTAACTTCTGTCTTTAAATTTAAAAAATACTCTGTCCGCATACTTAGCATCAGGGCTCTTGCCCTGTTCTGTACATTCGTATTTCCATGTGGCAGCAGGGAAGGAGGAACTTCTCAAACCACTACGCCGGCCATGTGGTGACCAGCCACTCCACCTTCACCACCACACCACCAGCTGGCTGGGTAAACAATACCTTTTAAAATAGATATTTTTAAATTTCTTGTTGTTCAGGGCTAACAGGTGGCATGGTAGTTGTGGCCCTGGAATCCCACATGGCCAACTGCAGTTTGCATCCCAGACCTGGTGGCTTGCTTTCTAACTTTCTCCCTCTCTCCTTGTCTCTTGTCAAATTAAGAAAATAATAATAAATAAAATTAAATAATTCTTTAAAAAGTATTTCTAGTTGTTCTTCGTTAATACATGATAGTACAATAGTTCTGTTTTTTGTGTTATTAACCCTGTATTCTACGGCCTTGCTGCACCTAGACAGCTTTCCTGGATTCTCCGGTGGTACTGTCTGTGTGGCAAGTCCTGCAGTGTGAAATGCAGGTGGTCCTTTCCCTTCCCAGGCTCGCATTTTTCCCGTTTCATTGCACCTGCCAGGCCTGCGGGACCGCGTGGAGCTGAGTGTGCGCGCACGCCTGCTGCTGGTCTCCGCCCACGGGGAGAGCGGGCCACGCCCTCCCGCTTCAGTCCGCTCACAGCACGTTTGCCCTGTGTGCTCTTGCTGTGGAGAAAATCCTCTTACTGAGGCTCTGCCTCGTTTCCCTTCTTTCAGCAGAAGACTCCGAGAGTGGCGTTTACATGCGATTCATGAGGTCACACAAGTGCTATGACATCGTTCCGACCAGCTCGAAGCTCGTCGTCTTCGATACCACATTACAAGTAAGCATGCCGTTCTTGCGGGGCCCCAGGGGGGGTGGCCACGCTGCAGTCCCTTCTCCATTCTCTTCTCAGGATCTTGGCCGTGCACACACACGCACCTGGCGTGAGTTTAAGCCACTGAGTCCAGGACTTGAACTGCAGTTGACTACATGGGAGTCCAGCAACAGAGCCATTATGCCAAATGCTGGTCCCCTCCCCTTTTTTTTCTGAGAGATTTTTGGGTGCATGTATTCATCGGAGAGATACAGAGAGACAGAAAGCGAGAAATCACCCCCCAGAGGGGATGGCCACGCCACAATCCCTCCTACTCCATTCTCTTTTCAGGATTTTGAACATGTATGCACGCATGCCCGGCATGAGTTTTAAGCTACCAGGTCTGGGACTCAAACCACAGTTGACTATGTGGGAGTCCAGCGACATAGCCATTACGCCACCTGCTGGTTCCAAGGCCCCACTTTTCAACACATGGTTGGGTTAAGTGTCCACGCCCCAGCACCTTCTCAGCACAGTGGCTCACCACATTTCAGCATGTGAACTTATGGGGCCATGTTCCAACTGCAGCAGGTGAGCCAGCCTCACGTCACCGAGGTGGCTGGGCCTCTCCTCCATGAAGCACGGTGTTTGGGGTCAGGAAAGCAATGGGGCTCTGTGTCTGTGCTTCCAGTCAGAGATGCAGGGGGGCGGTGTGGAGAGGCACTCTTCATGTGGCCAGCAGGAAGTTGGAGTCCGGCGTGTCCAACAGCTCGGCCCTTCATGAGTGGTGGACGGTGTGCTTCTCCCTGCTATTCCCATAGTCTGGCTGAAGCTATGCCACTTTCCACACTCAGTTCCCAACATCCTCTTTGCCATTGAGTAGCCACCTCATCACGGATGTTCCCTCGCTGAGAACCAGGGCACGCTTCCTCCCGGAGCTAAGTCGCATGCATTACCGCTTCCTTACGGCTGTGGTCCTGTGCATCGGTCGGGCACCGATTGGCTACATGGCACTCCGCAGGCATTTCTTGGACGCAAATGCATACCGGTTTGTTTTGTTACTGAACATATTGAAAACAAATTTTCATCTCAGGAGTTCGATGTCACTTCGGTGTTTTCCAATGAATTAATAGCCACGTTTGGCGGAGTCAGGCTCTGAAGTGTAATTCTGTGGTATAGCTTTGAATATATGAACCAGCTTGGTGACCAAGAATCTGTCGATAGAATAAGAAAGATACGAGCTCTTTTGCATCGTTTAACCTCCAATTTCAGTACACATTTGGGTATGACACAGAAGGCTCTCTGCTGATGTCAGGAAATTCGGTTATTTTTAGCTCACCAAAATTAGAGAACTTGTCATTGATGATAACTGGTAAGATGTGGTCAGACGTGTTGGTTGGAGGTGCCTTTCTTCCTGCTATGTGGACCAAGCATGCTCTGTTTCTCTCTTCATCCCCAGGTTAAAAAGGCCTTCTTTGCCTTGGTAGCCAACGGCGTGCGGGCAGCGCCTCTGTGGGAGAGTAAAAAGCAGAGTTTTGTAGGTGAGCAGTGTGGCCCGGGGAGGCTGGCGGGGGCGGCTGGCCCGGGGAGGCTGGCAGGGAGGCTGGCCCGTGGAGACTGACCCAGGGAGACGGCCCCAGGAAGGCTGACCTGGGGGAGGCTGACCCAGGGAGGCTGGCCCAGGGAGGTGGCCCGGGGAGGTGGCCTGGGGAGGCTGACCCAGAGAGGCTGGTGTGGACAGTGTCCAGGCAGAAGGCCTAACTGCTGCAATAGGTGCCCTCGTGACATCCAGCCTAGTGAACATGCTACCAGATGAAAGAGCATTCTTGCTTTCATGGACTGGGTAATGTGGGCATACCAATAAACTCAAAACTTTTGTTGGTTTCCCTTTTTTTGGTTGAATTTTTTATTTGTCAACTTTTGGGGGCTGTGAGGGGGTGCCTGCAGCAGCCCAGTGGACAGACCCAGGTGGCAGCCGGAGCCTCCGCCACAGCCCCACATGTTGTAGACGTGTGTGCCCGTCCTGCGCCTGTCCTCGGTGTACGCCTCCTTGGTGGCAGATGAGATGGCGGGAACATGGCCGGTGGCTTGGCTGTCATCGTCATGCTATTAAAAAGACGGCGTGATTTATAACTACTTGAACACTGTCACTTCTCTTCTTATAAACCACAGTAGATAGTGGCATGTCTGTCTTGGTACCCATCACATCATTTTTTTTTTTTTTTGGAGAGGTTTTTGTGCTATAGGGCGCGTGCGCTCGCCAGACAGACAGAGAGAGACATAGAGACAGAAAGCGAGAAATCACCCCCCAGGGGGGATGGTCACGCCACAATCCCTTCTCCATTCTCCTCTCGGGATCTTGGGCATGGACGCACACGCGCCCAGTGTGAGTTCTAAGCCACTGGGTCCGGGACGCGAACCGCAGTGGGAGTCCAGCGACATAGCCATTACGCTAACTGCTGGTTCCCCCCATCACATCATTTTGAAATTACCTGTTCACGTCTGCCTCACGCCTAGCCCTCCGCCCTACCTGTTAGTCCTGGTGTCTGGCATCTAGCAAGCACTCAATAAACGGCCACTGCTAGAGCAATGGCTTTTCCAGTGCGTTTCAGAAAACAGTCCAAGTGCCCCAGATGAGTCAAGAGCTTACGGAATGTTCTTTGTTTTTTTAAAGAATGATTTAATTTTATGTATTATCATCATTATACTTTCTAAATGTAAGCGAGAGATACGGGGGTGAGGGAGAGGGTGAGAAAGCTAGCTGCCAGGTCGGGGACTATAATTGCAGTCAGCCATGTGGGAATCCAGTGCTCCGACCACCATGCCAGCTCCTGGCCCTGATCTGTCTTATTGTGAAGTCATTTTCATTATTTGATGTAGCTGCAAACTTGTTTTAATACTTTCTGGCAATTAGGACATTTTCTCTCTGATTTGCCAAAGGCTGTGATCGATCCCACTGTACTTAGGTTTCGCCCAGCTGCACTAGTGGATGCAGTTGGCAGACAGTGGGTCATTTTAAATGTACTAAACTATGCTTCATGTCTTCAGAGTACATTTTGTAAGCTTTTCTTACTAGTAAATACTATCAGTTCAAATTTTTCTTTGTTCTCATAATATTCTTTTTAATATCTAATTTTTCATTCCAGGAATGCTAACAATTACAGATTTCATAAATATACTACATAGATACTATAAATCGCCTATGGTAAGTGCAGCAGTCCTTGCTTTGTTACAGCAGTGTATGTCTATTACATATAGAAGGGTGAGTGTGTGTGTGTGTGTGCGTGTCTGTGTGTACGCCAAGGGACTTCAGACAGTGCACTGGAAAATGGAATTAAAATACAAGTTGATTATAGTGCAGGAAAAATTTCGAACTCCATACATAGTTTTTCATAATACACGTCTGCCATGAACTTGTTGAAGACCCCACATGGACCCAGGGTGCTCAGGTGTTCAGTATAAGATCACTGGCCATGTAAACACCTCACTTGACCTAAATTGTGCATGTGAAACTTGAAGAAGGTATTCTCAGGAAACATGAGAGGAATGGCTTCTTTCTTTTCCAGAATTTCTCAGGTTGGTGGAATTTTGCAAGCTTATTTGTTACCTAGATGTTCCGGAAGTCTCACTGAAGGGGTAACCCAAGGTCTCACACTATTAGGACAGTCCTGAGAACCCTGCTCGGCTGAACCCGAACAAGGGAGGCTGCTCCAGGCCTGGCTTCCCTGGAGATAAGCTGGCTACCAGGTTTATCTCTGCCATGAGTAGAGCTTGGTGCAGTTACCCAGCAATCGTGCAACCAGAATTCTGTGTTCCTGGTGGCTCTAGAGAAGGAAAGAGATGTGGAAATGAAATGTGTAAGATTCTATGTTGACGTTCTCCGCCAAATTGGAAAAGCCTCTCCCGGCTGAGCGTGGGCAGAACGGCGTGGTCCCAGCCCAGCTGTCCTGTAAGGGCGAGGTCTTCCCCTAACACTGACTCGTGTAATTCCGCCAGAGTGCTTCTGGACGTTGTTGGGGTTCTGTCTGTGACAGTGGGGAAGGACAGGGTCACGTGCTTTATTTAACTAGTACTGTTCCGGTGCCTGCAAGTTACCCGTCCAGTCAGTACTTGGTTACATATAAGGGGCAGTAGCTAAATTCCTATGGAAACGAGTGCATGAGACATACCCGAAGAAGGAAGTTTTACCGAACTTGATGTACCTGTTCTGTATCTATTTCCCATGACACGATTGATTTCTTAAATACTCCCAGCGCACATGAGTACTGGTTTTCCTGAGAGCGATCATAGCTCTGCTTTATGACTAGCAAAATTAGCGTAAGTGTGGTCTTTAAATGGACACATTTTGATAAAATGCTACCAAGTCCCACACACCAAATCTAAAGTCATTTATTAAGTCAAGGTCGCTAAAAAGCAGTTGCGTCTAAATACGCGACTCAGAGTTTGTCCGAGAACTTCAGGGTACATTTTTCTCCATGTTTTGTCTCATTTTCTAATGAACAGGGAAAAAAATGCCATTATGAGGCTATGTTTTGTCTCATTTCCCAAGGAATTTTATTCTCTGTTGTGTGCGTTAACATTTATAAAGAAGAGCATTTTTTATTCGCAGGTACAGATTTATGAATTAGAAGAACATAAGATTGAAACGTGGAGGGGTAAGCACTGTCGGGTGTGAAAAATCTTTTAATATCAGGGAAAATATGCTCATATATAAAGTATGTTTTAATGTCACAGGTCCTTGCCTCTGCTTAGTAGTAAAATGTTAATTAGACCTTCTATTCAGTTCCGTCTCGGTTCTGATGGTACGCCCTGCCATGCTGCTCTAAACACTGTCTGCTGTCTGTTCTGTTCAAAGGTACATACAGACTGCCCGTAGCTCGTAGGGCCTTGTGCCAAGGCTGGGGGCATAAAGCTAAATGAGCTAACCAAGCCCCCATGCCCCACCGAAGAAGCCTGGGATGGGCATCGCTGGAGACCCAGACCAGCTGAGGCGGAAGCGCTTTTGTAGAGCATTCTTAAAAAACACTGGATCAAAGTGGAGGGACCAATGAAGAAAATTTCAAATTCAAAATTGAGTTTGGCTTTGAGCTTCCCATAATATGTTTGATAGGATAGACAACTTAGTAACTGGCTGGAAAACTGAACACCAGTTAGAGTTCGCTAACGCTCCACGGGCCTTTTGGGCCAGCAGATGGCATGGAGGTTAGGGCGCTGGATCCCGTGTGCCCACCTGCACGGTTAGAGCCTCAGACCAGGCAGCTGGAGAACTGCAAGGGCACACGTATGCATGCCCAAAATCCCAAAAGGAGGATGGAGGAGAAGGAATGGCGGCACAGCCGTACCTCCAGGGGGTTGATCTTTCACTTTCCTTTTTTCCCTGTCTCTCTGGCAAGCATACCCACCATATAGGGGGAGAAAAAAAAAAAAAAGCTCCAGGGGCCTTTTAATTCTGTGTGATTTAATAGTTTTATTAGGTGATATATTTTTATTATGGCTTTATCAACCCAAGCTAAACAAATTGAGCCAACACAAAGTCCATATGGCCTGTTATGAAGTGATTATTTAACTTTAATATAGGTCTAAGTGTATTTACATTTTGACACCACATAGCATTTGGTAGTAATAACGAGACACTCTTAAATGTCTTCTGTAGAGAAACCTCAGTAAAGCAAATTAATGGCGGTCGGTATCTTTACAAAGGAAATTTCTGTGTGCTAGGAAGATGACCGACATACAGCAGGTTTTGAACATTAATTCGGTTTAAAAAATATTTAAGAACGTTCAAGGAACAAATCTTGTCATCTCTGATCCTTGTCTTATTACTTACAAAGGCAGCATTCTACAAACAGTTTGGGAGTCGGGTAAGATTGTTGAGACTGGATCCAGCAGGTGGCCCGGAGGTCAAGGCACTCAATCCCACATGGCCAACTCCACAGTTCCAGTCCTGGACCTGGCGGCCTGAAAAACACGCCAGGCACACATGTGTGCATGCTAAAAATCCTGAGAATGGGATAGAGAAGAATGAATTGCAGTATGGTCACCCCCAGGGGGTGATTTCTCTCTCTTTCTCTCTCCAGCAAGCACACATGCCCTATGGCAAGAAAATCTAAAAAAAAAAAAAAAATTGTAACTAACACAATAGTTTTTGAGTGCATTAAATTTCTTTTGATTTGAGTTTTTAATTCTAATTATTATCTATAAACTGGGAAGGACGTTTGAATTTATGTAATAACTGCAAACAGCAAATATGCTACTAATTGCATATTTTCTTTTTATAAATACAGAGCTTTATTTACAAGAAACATTTAAGCCTTTAGTGAATATATCTCCAGATGCAAGGTAAATTTGTTGTTTTTCTTTTCCTCTGAAAACATTCATTGAGAATGATCAGCTGTATTAATTTTTACCAAATTACCAGATGGAAAGAAAGAAAGAAGTGTGTCCTGCAGTCTGTATGGGGCCGGCCTTAACGCCAAATACTAAATTCAGTAAATGCGGGGCCGGAAGAAGCCCTGGCTGTTGGTAGTCGCAAGGATTGGGGTGGGCTCGGGATGGCTGCCCAGCAGTATTGAAAATCCCAGTCAGCTGTGGCAGAGTCCACGGGGAGTGCGAGGAAACCACAGATGCCTGGCTTGACCCCCACTGACTACGTGCGTCCTTGGAGAGCGGGTACTTGGAAATAGGTATTTAGACGTTCCCGCGATCGCAGCCACGGCGGTGCTGAGACAGCCACATACGCCAGCCGTCGGTGACGGCCGGTCGGAACGAGCGCCCTCTGTCGTCCTTCCGTCCTCCCTTTCTAACCAGGCCGCTGGCAGGGCGCTAATGTATGTCCACGTTTGTATAAGTACATTTTTGAAACTCCAGACCACCAGAGAGAAAAGGGTAAATGTTCATTTTTGTTACTTTACTGTTTTATTTCCGAGTCCTAACAAAAGACCTACCCAGCAAGCCGCCTTTCTGGAGTGTCACAGGAGGGCACTGAGCAGAGCAGCAGGGCGGACTCTGGGCACCGGACTTGCGGGCAGCAGCGAGACACCACGCTGCAAGGCAGTCCCACATGCCACGGTTTCCGGTTCAAGTCCGGAGACCCCGTCCCCCGCGTAAGCCAGGCACATCGCTTGCCCGTGACCCAGGTTGGGCTGAGGCTGGGGTGGGTCGCAGCTCAGGACCCTGCTGGGGCTGTCCTGTGTGTCTCAAGAAAGAAAGAAACTTTTTTTTAAGTGCCAGCCCTAGAAATGCTCTAGTGGGCCTGCACGTGGCAGCCAGAACCTTCGCGAGCCAGGAGCCGACTGCCGTGGTGCCTCCTCTGTTGCCAGTATTGTTTGTCTGTTAGCTTTCCTACAGGTTCCAGACGATTCTGTCATCTCTCAGCTAACATCATGTAATATACCATTAGAAAATGCCTCCTTTAGAGATCTACAGCTTGTACTTTTATGTGAGATAGTAACACAGGTTATGGGGAATTTTTTTTTTTTTTGATTGCTGAGATCTCTAAGTTTAAAACATTTCCAAAATGCTGTTTTAAGTTGCTCAACCTTTCTTCTTATTGTAATAGGAAAGCACTGACAATGTTGTAACACAGGGGTGGCCCAGGGTCTTCTCATTTCCTTTCAAGTCTCCTAACACCTGCCCTGTCCTTCCCCACAGCCTCTTCGATGCTGTATACTCGTTGATCAAAAATAAAATCCACAGACTGCCAGTCATTGACCCGATCAGTGGGAATGCACTTTATATCCTTACCCACAAAAGAATCCTCAAGTTCCTCCAGCTTTTTGTAAGTAGTTTTAGTGTTTCTAAGGCATAGTTACATTTATTGTACGTTAAGTAGATTGGCTTCCGTTACCCTCAGTAGAACCCGTTAGTTTTAAGGTCTCTTCTGCTAGAACTTCAGGTTCTCACTTACTACTGTGTGAATCGTACATTCTCCAAGTTGATTCCAGCTAGAAAAACAATCACTTTTCAGTGCAAGTATCAAAGAACCACACCAAAATACATATGGCATTCTCTGTTTAAATTAGCACATTTTATCACCCACCATATGAGGGGAAATAAAGCAGTCTGCAAGTGGGTCTAATTAAGAACTGCTGTACAAGATGGAGCGAGCTAACAGCTAGCGGGGCAGTCGTTCTACGGTGCTTTTATTGGTGTCCTGGTTTTAGAAACACATTCAAAAAGTACGATCCCCGACATGGTCTTACTGTAAATTGTGGCAGTGATAGAAAGACCAAAAGCACGTGACACTGTGGCGGAAGAATACCGTGTTGGTCCGGAGTAGGCCTGTATTAGCGGCAGGTTCCCACAACTGCTTTTGAAATGAGCTGGTTGCACAACTGCCAAAATGTAGAGGCAAGTTTAAAGAATGTCACAGACGCGGGACCCGCAGTTAGCATAATGGCTATGTCGCTGAACTCCCATGTAGCTGACCACGGTTCAAGTCCCAGACCTGGTGGCTTAAACTCACGCCGGGCACATGTGTGTGCGTGCCCAAGATCCCGAGAGGAGAATGGAGAAGGTATTGTAGCGTGGCCATCCCCCCTGGGGGGTGATTTCTCGCTTTCTGTCTCTCTCTCTGTCTTTCTGGTGAGCGCTTGCACCCTATAGCAAAAAACCTCTCCAAAAAAAAAAAAAAGAATGTCACAAACACTAACCATCTACTTGCAGTTCGCTTTCCGGGTTCTTCACAGCGTCGCCTGAGGGGCTGAGGTGGCATTACCCACCCTGGAAGCAGCTGTCAAGGGCCACTGTTGCCGACAGACGCAGCTCTAGAGGGTTTAGTGAGCAAGGGGGTACCTTGTCATTCAGACAGCCCTGCATTCTCATCGCTTCCGAATGCAAAGGATACTCTTTCTTAGCAAAGAAATGCTAAGAAAGAAGGTAGGGAAAAAAGCAACTTACCATGAAAGGATGAAGAGGCCCACAGGTGGCATAGTGGTTGGGGAGCTATACTCCTACTTGGTAGACCCGGTTCAAGTCCCAGACCTGGTGGCTTGACACTCAAGCCAGGCACGTGGTAAGTGTGCCCAAAATCCCGAGAGAAGAATGGAGGAGAAGGGATTTAGTGTGACCATCCCCCCCTGAGGGGTGATTTCTTGCTTTCTCTGTCTGTCTCTGTCTCTCTGGTGAATGCATGTGCCCTATAGCAAAAATCTCTTTAAAAAAAATTAAAAAGAAGGATGAAGTTTCATACAAATACCATCTAGGAAGAAGGGCTGGGGGTGTCGATATCACCTGGAAGACTGTGCATCTGGGATGCAGTGGCCTTGATGGCTCAGGTTCTCTGGGCACAGAATGGGCAGGTGGGTGTGAGTAGCTTAGTCTGTCATCATTTGAAAAGAGCATTAACCACAGGCGTGGATTACTGTAGGCCTGCCTGCCCCGCACTCTACCTGGTAGACCTCCTCCCTGCCACCACCCTGTCCAGTAGGTGTTTTCTTCCGTCCACCCCATAGCGGATGCCACCAAGGCTGAGTGACTTGCCCAGGTCTCATGGTGGGCATCCCAGCCAAGCACTACAGCCCTGCAGCCCCCAGCCCCCTGTAGCTCTGCACCCAGAGAGGCCTGCAGGGGAGACCTTGGTGTGCACTGGAGGAGCCCCAACTCAGAAACAGGCACCAACCACCATGGCGGCTCCCGGCCCTGATGTCTCTGCTGTCGGGCTGCAGCCTGAGTGAGACCAAGGCCAGCGAGCGGCCTACAGAGGCGTCCTGAGTGTTCTCCACTAAGTTGAGAAGGTGGCCTCTGCCCGGTACTGCCTCACATTGGGGCCAATATGGTAATGAGAATCACGCTACTAGGATATTCAGTTACAGGTTTTCAGAGAAAAATACAGAATTTGTAAGTAATGAAATTTCAGAGCCTGACTTACACTGAGGGTTGAGACCATTGGTGGAGAAGAGGTAGCATCCCAGAGACAGCGTTGGCCTGAGCACTTGTGGTGCAGAGCAGGGGACTGTCCATGTTGAGACGGACCAGGGGACCTAATAGGTCTTCCTTTCTTTTTCTCTAAATCTCTAGGATTCTAATGATTTGAATATTCAACTCTTTGTCTTGAACATTTTGTTTCTCCTAATTCTTCATCTTCTCCTGATAATTATGAGGTACACCGGGAGGATAGAATCAACTACACCTTTATAAAAGGTGTATTTTTGAAACCATAGACCGTATTTCATTATAGTCAAACATGATCCCAGATTTTCTCTTCTGACTTATCCTTCCTCCTTTAAAACAGCCCACAAAAAGCAAAGTTAATTTGTAAGGGTTCTGTGAATTCTGTTCAGCTGGCTTGGCCTTTGTTCCTAGTAGACAAAGTCAGCCCCCAGAGATAGTTCAGGGTGTAGAGGTGGGTGGTGTGAGGGTGGGCACAGCAGCAGCTCCACCAGCCCCACCAGACGCTCTGGGTGTGGACGCATGTGGATCTTAATAAATACTGCCAGATGCTGACAGCAAGACCAGGAATTTAATGAATAATTAAGAATAAAGCATTCAGTTCTCGGTGGCTTCCAGGTCTTAATTTCCCAGATAGACCTATTAGTCATTCTCTTCTGTGTTTTTTTTAGAGAGTTAAATGGGGAAAGAAAAATATTAAAATGTTAATGCTTTCTAGTATTATCCCAACTAGTTAAAAATGAGCATAGACTTACAAACTAGTTTGAACAAAAGCTCCAACTCTGTAAGTGTCATCTCCGTATGAATTCAGACACCCACGTGGAGTGTTAGCAAAGGCCGACTTGAACTTGGTGGACGTAGTCCTCTCCCGAGTGTGGACATCTGAACGTGAGGAGCGTGTTCGGTTCTAGAGCGTCTGCGTTGCTCTGTCCTCTGCTCAGATGTCTGATATGCCAAAGCCCGCCTTCATGAAGCAGAACTTGGACGAGCTCGGAATCGGGACGTACCACAACATTGCCTTTATCCACCCGGACACTCCGATCATCAAAGCCTTGAACATATTCGTGGAAAGACGAGTGTCAGCTTTGCCTGTTGTGGACGAGTCAGGTGCGTGCGTTTGGCTGCACCCGCTGAACAGAAGCAGCCGCGCCCCTCGTCAGGGTGAAGCCACTGTGGTGCGACCTAGCGCCTCCAATAAGTGGGGCTGGAAATGGGCACAGTGGGTAGCTTAGCACAAGAGAGCCCCTAAGATAATGCCAATTAGAAACTGGCTTTACTTCATATTTCCAGTAAGATACAATGTTATGTCCATTTAAAAACAGACAAGTTGGACCAGCCAGTGGTGTGGTGGGGAAGGCAGCTGGACCTCACATGGCCAACTCCACAGTTTGAGTTCTGGGCCCAATGGCTTGAGAAACACGCTGGGCGCTTGTGTGGGCATCCCCAAAATCCCAAGGGGAGAGATGGAGAAGAGACTACAGTGTGGCCACTTTCCATGGGGGGAGGGGGGTTGCTTTCTCTCTCTCTTTCTATCTCCAGCCAGCACACATGCCCTCTATCAAATTTTTAAAAAGTAAAATAGAGGGACCAGCAGTTAGCATAATGGCTATGTCTCTGGACTCCCACGTAATCAACCGCGGTTCAAGTCCTGGATCCGGTGACTTAAACTCATGCCAGGCGCATGTGCGTGTGTGCCCAAGATCCCGAGAGGGGAATGGAGGAGAAGGGATTGCGGCGTGGCCATCCCCCCAGGGAGTGATTTCTCGCTTTCTATCTCTCTGTCTGTCTCTGTCTTTCTGGTGAGCACACGCACCCTATAGCGAAAACCCTCCAAAAAAAAAAAAAAGTAAAATAGACAAGTTTAGTTTCTTTTTCCATGTTTAACCTTTAGCAAGTCTCTAGTTAAGACTGATTTTAAATTAGTTGTCTTTTGTTCCTAAGACATTTTCTAACATCTATTTTTGTTTTTAGGAAAAGTTGTAGATATTTATTCCAAATTTGATGTAATTGTAAGTATTTTTAATTTTGTTACACTTGTTTAGAGTGCATTTTAAAAACTCATTTAATCTGTTTTTTCTTACTTTTTCCCTAATAATAAATAACTCCCTGGTTAATAATTTAATAATCATCCCTAATTAATATTTCATCATTTCTAGCTTTTTGGAGTGTGGGAACCTTAGAGAATCCCTCAGGCCCCTCGCAGTAACTGTATTTTAGTACTCACTGGCTCAGCACTGAGTTGCATGCAGCAGCATTTCATAATTCTCTGCCTTTTCAATGCGTGTCTGTCTGAGCCAACACCGCAGTGCACGTGTGTTTCAGACGCCCATCTGTGCGTGAGGGAGAGGGTCACCCGGCCTGTAGGCGTGCTCAGTGTGCACACAGACCCCTGCTACTCACTGCTTAGGGACTGCTGTCCTGAAGACCACGGCAAGCGTGTGAACAGAGCTATGTGTTTCAATCCAGTTACGTGGGGCCCAGCAGGTTGTTCGGTAGTTACGGGGCTGGACTTCCGTATCGGTGACGGTCCAGACTGAGTACTAGAGGCTTAAAAGTCACTCCAGGGCTTGCGCATGCATACCCAAGATCCCAAGAGGATAATATAGGAAAAGGGGTTGAGGTGGGACCATCCCTCTAGGGGGTGATTTCTCACTTCCCCCCTCATCGTCTCTCTGTGTCTGTCTCCAGCAAGCGAATATGCCCCATCCTATGGCAAAAGCCTTTAAAAAGGGAAGCAAAGAAACTTAAAAATAAATAAATACAGTTATGTGCAGTCCTGATTTGAATTCCTGGTCTAAACTGGCGAGGCGCATTGTTAAAACATCCTTCCGTGTGGCGCTCCCCTCCCGTTCGCTTGAGATGCTTCCATAGGCTCTCACACTGATTCTAAGAACGGGAGCGGACGCTTGGGTGGCCCCAAACCAGCACGCCATGTTTTGCCACAATTTTCCCCCTACATTACTCTTCTGCAGTTGTGGCAAACCTTTGAGTTCATCCTGTTCTGTGGGACGTTATAGACACACACGTGAAGATTATTTTCTGGGCTTTGGGTTGAGAGAGGCCCTCGAAGTTAACCGGAATGCTGAGGATCCAGCCGTGGCGGGGCGTTCTCCCTCCAGATTGCCTGGCCCCGACGGTCCTGGAGCTGTGTTCCCTGCGGAGCTCTTCGGGAAATCTGGGCAGGCACTTTCCCTAGCCCGGGGACATTGGTCCTCCGCTGTATCTCTCGGGCTGTCACAGACTCTGCGGCTAGGATGGAGAATATCTTTATGCAATCAGAGTTCCACAGAGTCGCTTCATGGTTCAGGTTCTCCTTGTAGGATGAAATCTTACGACAAGGCGATGAAATAGAATACTGACTGCATGTTGTCAGCCAGAGAGAGAAAACTTCTGATATACAGTAGCACCAAATTATGATAAAGTTTTTAAAAATCAGCTTGCCTTAACCTTATGAAGCTTGGTCATTAGCATGAATTGAAATGAAGGGGCGTAATTTTTTCCGTTACTCCATTACAGAATCTTGCTGCTGAAAAAACCTACAATAACCTAGATATCACGGTGACCCAGGCCCTGCAGCACCGCTCGCAGTACTTTGAAGGTGTTGTGAAGTGCAGTAAGCTGGAGATCCTGGAGACCATCGTGGATAGAATAGTAAGAGCTGAGGTGAGACGGCCTTCCCAGTGCCCGCCTGCCTGCCCTCCGAGTCACGCTGCCGCAGGTCCCAAATAGCACGCGGTCTCGGGATCTCGAATGGAGGACAGGCCCATTAGGCAGCCACGTGGAGCTTAGACAGGCCCGGGAGGCAGCCACGTGGAGCTCGGCACACAGTGGCCGATCTGTAAAGGGTGCTTGAGTTAAGTGTGTAAGTCCCGATAGCATAGTTGAACCGGATAGACTGGTAAATATGTTCACGTTTAAAATATATTGGGTCTTGGGGAAAGTCATGACACATTTTTGTATAGAAAAATACATCAGGACCTTCCCATGACCTAATACGTGCTCAAGAGAACAAAAGTTATCCCAGGAGCTTTAAGTTCCTCTGAAGTATTTTTTTTTAAATAATTATTTATTGGGACCAATTGATGGCATAATGGTTATGTCACTGGACTCCTGCATAGCCAACCATGGTTTGAGTCCCAGACCTGGCAGCTTAAACCTCACGCTGGCCATGTGTGTGTGCATGCCCAAAATCCAAAGAGGAGAAGGGAGGAGAAGGGATTACCGAGTGGCCATCCCCCCCCCGGGGGGATGATTTCTCACTCTGGCGAGCACATGTGCCCTATTGGAAACATCTCTCTCTCTTTCTAAAAAAAAAAATATATATATATATTTATTTATTTATTTATTTATTTATTTATTTATTTTTATTTTGACCAGAAAGAGAGAGGGAAAGTGAGAAAGCAAACCACCAACTCCTGGACTCTTAACCGTAGTCGGCCATGTGGGAGTCCAGGGCCTTAACCACCTCGCCACCTGCCAGCCCCTCCACTGAAGTGTTTATAAATTCAGAATTTAAAATGTATAATGTAGGCCTGGGCCATAGCCTAGTAGTTAAGGGAACCAGGTCCCACGTGGCTGGCCGTAGTCTGAGCCCCTGCCCCAGTGGCTGGAGGACACATTGGGTGCGCTTATATGTGTGCCCGAGGTCCCAGCAGGATGGAGAGGTGGAGGACTAGGATCACGGCGTGGCCACACTCCATCAGAGAGGGCTTTCTCTCTCTCTCTGGTGAGCGCATGTACCCTCTGGCAGCTAAAAAAAAAAAAAAAAAAGTGAAATATATATTTTTTCAAAAAAAAAAAAAGTGTAATGTATATGATTCTCACAAAATGAATGATAAATCAATAAAATTTTTTTAATGTTCCATTTTTTTCCTTCCTAACGTTTAGATAAATAGCAAGTGGTCTCCTGAGCCACTGCACTGACATCCACTTATACTGCACTGTTTGTACGATTCCCAGGTAGCGTTGCATAATACCTTAGTAAAAGATTGCTTTATACAAACCTAACTCGGCATGCCCATTTCCACACCACCCTCTCCTTATCAGACGGGTAGGACTGTTACGGCCTCGCTCTGCGGGACTAAAGGATGCGACTTTGATTCTTCTAGAACAACCCCTCAGCGGGAGAAATGCACTTATAATAATACATCTGTTTTGATATTATTACAAATGCCTGGTGGGCAGCTGATCCCGCTTGGCTGACCATACGTTTCAAAGCCCAGACCTGGAAGCTTGAAAAGCGTGCTGGATGTGGGCACGTGTATGCTCCAAACTCCAAAAGGGGAGAGAGATGGAGAAGGGAGTGTGGGCAGCCGTGCTTCCTCACTTACCCCCTTCCGCTTCCTCTCTCTCTGCCTTGCCCTAGTAAGTGCATGTACCCTCTGGTAAAATTTAAAAAAAAAAAATGAAGATGAAAAATTACGTTAGAAAAGAATACCTGTCGCTGGGGAGGACGCTCGTCGTGTGTTGCTAAGAGAAAGGCCCGTTCCGTGTGGGCTCCATTCTTCGCGCACACGTGCACCTGCAGAGGGGGCCCGCACAGCGCTGTGGTGGCAGTGGCCATGTCTGGGGGAGAGCCTGGTTGGCAGAGAGAAGATGGCAACCCCAGTGTCCTCAGGTCGTCACCTGGTGAGCCGTAGGCCTTCCATCACAGGCAGAAGGGCGTGGAGGGAAGTAACGGTGCAATCAGGGCGTTTCCGGGGCTGTCCTTCATGACTTCTTTTCCTCAGTAAGCTCTTTCTCAAGAAGATGGCTCACGGGGACAGAAGCCAGTCTCCAGCTTTAGTGCTGAAGGCAGGAGGAGGGGCAGTGAAGACTGCGTATTTGTAAGCCATACATGTAGCCCTGCCTTTAGGGACCGCGGACGGGGACGTGCCGAAGGCGAGACTCAGCAACATCACAACACACTCTTCTAGGTCGCTATTTCTGTCTGGGCAATGACCTAACCCCTGGACCTTCAGTAATTCAAGAACAGTTATCAGTGCCCCCCTTTAGATACTTATTGAACTTTATTTATTTGCTCATTTATTTTAATTTGAAGAAAGAGAGACACACACGGGGGGCGGGGGTGGGGGGTGGGAAAGCAAGCCACCAGGTCCAGGGCTCGAACCATGTTTGGCCATGTGTGGGTGTCCAGCGCTTTAACCACCATGCCACCTGCTGATCCCGCAGTTACCATTATTAAAAAATAAGTGTAGACTATAAGGTATTCTCTGGTGCTAGATGTAAACAATGATTTTTATTTATAATTGTAGCTAGTGAATAATAGCTTTATGTTTTATCACAATGTTATCAAAGAACGTAAAAGTTTTTTTCAAGAAACTCTTCAAAGAAATTTGTTAACCAACGTGAAAAAGAGAACCAAGTGATTTAGTTTTGTTTTTTTTTTTTTAACCTAAAGAAAGTTATGTCAGGGCCAGTAGGTAGCGTGGTGGTTAAGGCGCTGGCCTCCCACATGGCAGACTGTGGTTCAAGTTCCGGACCTGGCAGCTTAAAAATCATGCTGGGCCCCAAATCCCAGGAGAACAGAGAAAGGATTATGACGTGTCCATGCCCCTGGGCAGTGACTTCTCACTTTCCCTCTTTCTCTCTCTCCATCTCTGTCTCTCCAGCAAGCACACATGCCCTATCTCAAATTTAAAGCAGTCAAGCAGATCAGTATTGTACTTCACCCCCGACCTTCCTGGTTCTCTGTTGCTGCTGGTCTTGTTCGTGGATGGATTCGTGGTCTAAGGACACAAGCGACGTGCTCTCGCATCGTGAAGCGAGGTTCGGCCTGCACTGACCTGTGCCCACTTTGCTCTGCAGGTCCATCGGCTGGTGGTGGTCAATGAGGCGGACAGCATCGTGGGCATCATCTCCCTGTCAGACATCCTGCAAGCCCTGGTACTCACCCCAGCAGGTCAGGTGGGGAGGGTGGGAGGCAGAGCAGTGAGTGCGGCGTTGAAGCCCCGTCCCCCGTCCCCGTCCAGTCCCCTGTCCCCCCTCCTCCCACCAGATGGAGGCCTATGCGCATAACTTTGTAAACCCTTTTCGGTTTTTGATTTGAAGTTTGAACGCTGCTGGGTGGGGGGCTCCTGGAGGGTGGTCTGACCTGGAGCGCCCTGTCAGTGCCCAGCAGTGCCGAGCAGTCTGAGTCGTGGCTGTGTTCCTCGTAACCTTGTCCGTTGAACGGTTACAGTCTCTTTAGTCTTGCTCCTCGAGGACTACCAACTTGAAAACAAAGGAAATTCTTAGGGTTCTCACTTACTGAAGCCTTATCTTCTCTTTTTTTTAAAAAAGCGCATTTTGTATAGAATCAAACGAAATAGCAGCCCAGCCTCCATGGCGCAGTGGAGAGCCAGACCACAGTGCTGGGAGCCACGTGGCTGACCCCGGCTTGGATCCCGGGCCTGTAGGCCTGGAGCCCACTGGGCACGCCTGTAGGCCCAGGATCTCACTGAGCTGGGGGCCTGGGGAAATGGGATCAAGTGTGATCAGACCTTGCTGGAGGTGCTCCTCTCTGGTGTGTGTGCGGGCAAACATGCTCTCTCTCTCATGAACAAAAAAAATATATATTTAAATACCTAAACACAAAGTTTAATTCATTAAAATTGTATGAAAATTACATTCACACCCAAATGGAGCTGGTGATAAGCTCTCATACTGCCAGACACTTGGAGGGAGCCTTCGGGCAGAGCGTTGGGGGCTTCCTGTGCATCATGAGATTTACTGGCAAGAGGTGGGCTTAGCTCTCTCCCTCTCTCCATCCCACTCCTCTGCCCGCCTGCCCTGGTCCAGTATAACCACCCAGCCTTGGGCAGGGCCGCACAGCCACAATGAGCTCCGAGATTAATTGGCGTGCACTTTGAACTACAGCTCGTTTTTATGAATGCATAACCCCGAAGTGCTGCACTAAAGGCAGCTCTGCCACCTGCAGGGAACATCTTAGTCACTAAATGAGAACCCCAAGAACTGATTCCAGGAACGCTGGTCCTCTCGGGAGTTCTCAGACCAGTGGCGTCAATGTCACCTGGAACGCCTAGAACGAGCCACCCCCACATCTACAAATCAGAAACATTCACTCGGCTCAGCAGATGGCAGAGCAGTTATGTCACTGGGCTCCCGCGTAGTCAACCACAGTTCAAGTCCCGGACCCGGTGGCTTAAAACTCACACCGGGCACATTGTGCGTGTGTGTCCAAGATCCCGAGAGGAGAATGGAGGAGAAGGGATTGCTGCGTGACCATCCCCCCTGGGGGGTGATTTCTCACTCTCTGTCTCTCTGTGTCCCTCCAGTGAACCCGCGCGTCCTATAGCAAAAATTTCTCTAAAAAAAAAAAAGGAAAAGAAACATTTACTGAGTCAGAGATGAGCCTAGTATGGCAGTCATTTTCAGATTTCAAGTATTAGAGAAGCCAAAGCACAATCTTTATAATCATGAACTAGTCATAACTAAATAAATGTGAGGTTGTTTATCACATTATATGTAATAGCCTAAAATTGTAAATAACCCAAATAACTTTCAAAAGAAGAATGGAGAAATTGTGTGTGTGTGTGTGTCCCCATTTGATGGAATACTATACAGCAGTGAAGATGGACCCTACAGGTATATTTGACTGCAGCAGGGTCCCACAGTGTTGGGCAAAGGAACCCAGGCATGCGATTACATTTATCTGAATTTCACACAGGCACCTTCTGTAAATTAGGAAAAGGTCTTTCCTCTGGGAAGACCTGTCCCCACAGGTATGTAATTTGACATCTTCAGAAAAAGTCACCCCTTTCCAGGTGACTGACCCTGGACCAAGGGAGAGCCTTCCCAGTGGAGTCGCCGAGTCCCAGCTCCTGTCTGTCCTCCCGGCCAGGGTTTTCTGGGCACTGCAGACTCGGAGTCAGCCAGTCTGGCGGTGTGCCCTGTGTAAGACGGCTAGGCTGGACACGTTTACATTTCCACACAGAGCTGATCTTTCAAAAACCTAAGTCCTGGTGCTCTTCCTTTACTGCTGGTGCAGGGCGGAGCCCTCCTCAGCTGGCACTGACGGTGTCCCACAGGGCTCACATCCCAGTTCCTGACGTGCCAGGCCTGTAGTGCTGTCCCTGAGGGAAATGTCCCACGTTCCTGACATGCTCGTCCACAAGTGGTGGCCCTTTGGAGGGCACTCCTGCGGGACGCAGGGAGTGTCTCTGAGGAGCAGGCAATGTGCGTGGGAGGCTTGAGAAAGCGGGAGTCTACAGGGGTGGCCACACTGTCAGCCCGGGTCCCCGTGTGCCCCCCACAGAGCCGTCCACAGTTAGCCTTGGTTTCTGCAACCACAGAGCACACAGTTGACACCGGCCCGTCCCCTCCTAGTGCGTGAGATGGAAGGAAAACGCGTGGGGGGTTTGCGTGGAGCAGACGTCAGACCAGGACAGGCGCTGCTGGGCGCTGTTGAGGGATGATTGTGAGAGGCGCTCTTCGGAAGCACCCCCTGGGACCAGCAGATGGCATAATGGTTATGTCATGGACTCCACGTTGTGGCCACAGTTTGAGTCCTAGACCTTGCGACCTAAAATGCATGCCAGGCACATGTGCATGTGTGCCCAAAATCCCAAGAGGAGACTGGAGGAGAGGGGATTGCGGCTTTATGTCTCTCTATCTCTGTCTCTCCAGTGAGCGCACGTGCCCTATAACAAAAGAGAGAGAGAGAGAAGCATCCCATTAGTGATGGGCAGCCACCTTTCTCCAGAGTGGCCAGTGGTCCCGTGTCCTGACTTGCTAAGGTTTCCTCTCTCAGAAAGCCATCGGCTTGGGCCTGGGCTTCCAGCAGCTCCTGCTGTGAAGCCTCTGGACTGCCCCTGCCCCCACAGGCCCTGCCCTCCCAGCACAGGTCTGCAGAGAACCCAGCAGGCAGGGTGACGCTTCCATTTTCCACCCTGACAGGTGCCAAGCAAAAAGAGCCGGAAGCGGAATGACAGCTGCCTGTAGCCCCTCGAGGAGAACTTGAAGCGTTTCTGGGTCGCGTTTTGCCTCACGAACACTGGCCGCGATGGAGGAGAGCAAAACGGTGCAGAATGTATATCAGGGTTCAGTGATGGGTGTTTTTCTCCAGTGATGTTGAAACTAAGAATAAAAGAGAAAGATTTTATGTGCTTGACGAGTCAGGCTCGCATTCAGAGACTGTTTTCAGACCCTCGTCTGAACGATTTTAAATGCTGTCTGTCATTAAAGTGCACTGTGTCCTGCAATCTTTATTATTTTTCATTTCAAAGAATTCGCTGGTCTGGAACAGGGGAGGTGACATAGGTGAGTGGACAGCAGGTTCGGATCCCAGTGCCTTCTGTCCGAGTACAGCAATACCGCCCCGCTG